ACCGCCCGCCCCCCAGCGCTGCAAACTGGTCAATATGGAGGCCAATTACTGCTGCCCATGTGACCAGGGCATCATCCAACCCTATCATAACACACACGCGCACACACGCGCACGTGCCATCTGTGCAGACCAGCAACGACCCCCCTCTGATCCAGTTGTGTCCCTGTGCACGCTCCTACTTAACCTCCTAAACAGGGGCCAGCCGCACCCCGCCGCCGATCCCTCCATACCGTAGCTGGGCCTCCGTGAGGATGACGGAGAGAGGTCGGACAGGTCAAGAAGACTTTCCGCTCACACTCTGTAGTCAAACTCGCTGAACAAACACTTCTCCCCAGTACACGTAAACATCTGGCACCACCAAAACCCCGGCAAAACCTATCTGGCCACCAGCCAAATCCCTGAAACCTACCTGGCGCTCACCCGGGTCTCCACCTCTGCCTCTTCACCCCCCACCCGGTTCTTCCCTGCCCCATTTACCCCCAACCTCCTGCCCCTCCTCCTTCTCCTGAAGCCCTTGTTTCTCCCTTGGCAGGACCTCCAGCAGTAGCACACTCAGTTTAGCTTCTGCCTCGTCTTCTGCCCCACTGCCCGTGCCACACCGTGCCCCATTGTGTGATAACAAACAGATGTTGTGGAATTTCCTTTGAATGGACTGCCAGTGCAGGCCTGCTCCCTTGTTTGGCAGTGTGGGGGCACTGGCATACAGTCTGGCAAAGAGATTGGCCGAAGTCTGCACGATTGTTTCCTCTGTACACATGTGTAACACTTTAGTTTCCAGTTCAGTCGCGTGTGCAGGTGCCGGAGAAGTTAACAATGTACCAATTGCAATTTTTGCTGACGTAATTATTCAAATACATGTGAGATCAGCAAGTGTATGTGATGTTTTTTTTTTTTTTTAAATCAATCTGTGTCCTTTTCAACTGCATTACCTCTTGTTTTAATGCTCACAATCTCCTGACCAGATTAACTTTCTTACAGCTGAATTGAATCCTAAATGAAATCATTCCTCACATTTTATATCCATATGATGATCTGATATCTGCATTTTACAAAAAAACACTCGGTTATTATTTTAGCTAGACGTTAATTGGAGTTCACACCATAGTACTTGTGACATTTTGATAATCGCACTATTGACTGTTATGTCGGACAAACACTTTTGATTTTTTTCCCCCTACCAAGTTGAGTGAGAAAAAGAGTGGGCATGAACATGATAATTTAAACAGCGAGATCCATTCACTCACTTTTCATCCTGAGTGGAGCACACAGTGTCATTGGAAGTTTTTTTTCCTTCTTCTTGAGACTGGCTAAGACTGACTGCATATGCAAGTCAATTATAAGACCTTTATTTGCAAAATTATGGGAAATGAAGGAATAAAGGATTCATTCACCCAAAAAAATAGAAATAATTCTATAAAGTTAGGATGAAGAAAGGTTTGACAATTCAAGATTTAGTTAATTTGATGTATGACACACTCTTTTATGATGTGATGACATGTCCCAACCTCTGTCTCTCTCTCACACACATGCACACACACAGGCCTAATGTCCCTGCAGAGGCCTACTGGAAGAGTAGCCTCATAGTCCTCTATGTTAAACTACAAATATGAATGCTTTCACAGCGAGGATAATTAACAGTGATAAGTAAACGAACTAGAGGTTGTCTAATGGACAAGTTTGCTCTCTTTCTGTTATTATCCCTTCAAAGCTAAAAACATTTTTGCAAACTGCTTTAATAATATCGGAATTTTTTTTATCACACTTGATCAAAATTCTGCCTTTGGGGGGCTTCATTTGGCTTTAGTGTGTGTACGCGGGATCTGTTGCAAGGTTACCACATGTGAGCACTGGCTGCAGCACAGCCTTCTTTCAATGCATGAGCATAAGTTCATACAATATAACGTTAGAGGGAAATATGCATATTCATAGGCCAACTCTTCACACACACAAAAAATGCCTTACTGCTGTGTATCAGTGTGTGTGCTGATGTGTGTGTGTGCGTGTGGCAAAGGGTTTGTCAGGATGAGCGCTCTCGTTTTTAAACGTCCTGGATAATGAACAGATGCTGCAAAAATTAGGAAAGAAACATCGACTCCTCCCAGCAGTGCCACTTTGGCCCGGTGAACTGGCACATTGGCGCACACACTGGGTTGTCCTCTCCGGAGCTCCTGGTGCTGCTGCTGGGGAACATTAAGGAACTTGGCACGGCTCTCCTCCGCCAGCCTGCCAGACCCTCTCTCTCACTCTCTCCGGACTGTGGAGGAAGAGGAGGTGGTAGTGGTGGTGGTGGTGTGGGGGGGTCGGGGAGTGTTTTGATAGATGCCCTCTCCCACTGCTCGCTGGCTTCACTTTTGGGCTGGCTCTTCAAGAAATGCATGGAACTTTTTTCTTTGCTGATGAGGCCAAAAAGAATATAGAGGCCTAAAACTAACAAAAGTGTAACCCTAGTCTTTGGTTTGTTCAGTGCTTTTGTGCCCGGATTGAAAACAGCCTGAACTGCAGAACTGCGGGTTTGATTCTGGCCTGGGACTATCTTACTAAATGAATGCACTCAGCCTGCCAATGTAATTTAAAATAGTGGAACCTAAAGGATAGGGTTTATTAAAATGAAAACCAGCACAAAAACGAAACACTGACAGTAAATCAGAAGTCATTTCCCCATTATGAATTATTACAAATATTTCTTCTACACTACTATCAAGCATCCCGACAGACTTTTCTCTACAGAATGATGGATATTATTACTAATATTTTGGTTAAGTGCTCAGAACAAAATGTGCAGTAGCATAAACCCTCAAGTGCTATGTGTAGACTCAACCTTCACAAATTCGATTTTTTAAATTGAAAATTAAGATGTCCTCGAAAAATAGGTTTATTCATCTTTTAAGTTATTTTTAAGGCGTACAGCAGGCGGGACAAGAACATGCTACAGACTATGCTTTTAATGTATTTAAATATTCCAAATACAAACTGTCCAAAATGTGTTCATCTGCTCCTACTACGTAGGCCTAGTCGTGTTGAGATGTTGTTCAAATGTTTCATTGAAACTAATTAAAAAATGTACTCTTTTCTATTATTGTGTCAATATGTCTCATAAAGGAGAAGTGACCTTTTGCTAAATATAAGAAAGTTTAAAAACTGCATTTGTGGGGACAAGCTGGTGGAATTACCTTACCGATGACCGACAGGAAATTATTAGCAAATTGTTTGGCCAGTTGCTCCAGAAAAATGCTTCTCTTGTGTGTCTTCTGACTTTGAAATTTTATCTCTGCATTTTTTCGATTTCATTAATCATCAAAACAACAGGATTTGTGCTGAAACCCACAACTGATGCCCATGCACGCAGTTTTATTTAAAATAAGATGGGAAATAATCTGAGTTAACATATTGTAGGTATCGCTATTGATATTAGCGTTAATATTGGTCACCATCACTAGCCACCCAAAGCCTGTGTGTGTCCTTACAGAGAGCACCCAGGACATTCTGGGGAACATATGGGTCCCGGGGCAGCGCTCCAAACCCAGCCGGGGTGGCAACGGCTGCCCCATGCACTGTGTGTGTGTGTTGGTGTGAGTTCGTGTGTGTGGTCACCAGTTAAAAAAAGAACAAATCTATATTTAAGAAAGGTTTTTATTTAACCTTCCCTGTGTGTGTGTGTGTGTGTGTGTGTGTGTGTGTGTGTGTGTGTGTGTGTGTATGTGATTATGATGTTTAGACTATTCACTAAACATAGAGACTGAACTGATTGCAGCCCAGGATAAATAAATCCATATATTTATACTGCCGTCTGAATCCATGTTAAAATGTATAACATAAATATGAGATGTGTTTTTAAAGTTACAAGAAGTAAAACTATAAGAAAGCGGGGGTTGACTTCATAATTCATATCGCATGTTTAATGCATTATGGAAAGATGGAAATAAAGACAAAGATGGTTTTAAAATAACGAATTTTGACGGTGCTGTCTCTCCTGCCGCCTGATGCCAGTGCCGCAAAGTTCATTATATTCTTCACACATTCAAAAAATTTAAGATTTTCTTCAACAAGTAGACCTACTATTGAATTAGCACGCATCTCGGGAAATATATGAGGAATCGAAAAAAATTTAATAAAACACTTAAGGTGTGTTTTTATTATTTTTATGTATTGATTGTCTTATAGTCGTCGAGGCTCAGTCATTTCTTGCGCACTGACGAAACCAGCAGAACCTGCAGAACTAATGTGTTCTGGGGAAGTTGAGACCAAAAGGGATTCTAAACCATTGTTGTGTGGATGTCAAGCCCATGTTGCAATATTATCACATCACCTATTTGTTTGGATTATTTGGAGTTTTATCAAATATTAAGATCAACTCCAGTGAATCAAACGACAGCTGCGTGAGCTCTCCGTGGTGCTGAATGTAATTTCATCTTGTCTTAATGGTCAAAGCGATATGAAGCAGACCTCCATTGTTACCCCGGTGACCTTGAATGCAGTGCTTGGCATCAGTTAACCTGTACTGTCTGGGTGTCCTCCACACCCAGTCACTGAATCATGATTTAAACCAAATCTGTTCTCGTCACACGGTCTGCAACTGAAATCATCCCATACATTTTTAAAGACTGCTTTGTCTATGAGCCGTCTGCCAAAAAAAATGGCACATTGGCACCAGTTTACTTGATCGGGAAGAATTAATGAAAACACTGCCCTCTCCCTCCTGTCCCACTTTAAAGGCCCTGAGGCTCTATGAGGAACTCCTGCAGGTTGTGGCACCATGCAGGCAGAGCCAGAAAAAAAAGCAGGTTAATGTCTTCCTAAAAAGCCTTAAGATGCATCTTTTAAATATACCAGTATCCTTCACATACAAATGTCTGACCCATTTAAATTCGATGTAAAAACGAATTATAAATCCGCTGAGTGTAAAGAGTAGATGCATTTTGGAAAGTTAAATTATGAACGGTGTATGTTGGATTCTGTTCGATAGGTGTAAAAAAATCCAAGTTGAACATTTATTTCATTTGTCATTTTATTTTACCACACAGTTGGTTGAATACAAAGTTGAAAGACTTGAATTTTATGAAAGAAATGCTCAGCAACACATGGGATCCCTTCATTTCCATAGACTAGTAACATTAATTACAAAAAACAACACAATAAATACGTGCAATAATAGTAATAATAGAAACCTATTCAACATAGCATTACGAATCAAAATGAAAATATTGAACCAAAATGTCAATCAAATCAAAATACTGTGCAATAGCTCAATTAGAAAAATATGGATCAGATGAATAAATAAGAGTAAAAAAAGAAAATGAGAAAAATGTCTGATTTAATAGTATTTTAATTTTTTTTTTTAAGTTAAACCATTTTGGCCAGCTCAGCCACCGTCAGATTCGTTGGGTGTTAATTCCAATGTGTGTGTGTGTGTGTGTGTATCTGCGCGCACCCGTGCGTGCAGATACAGTGCTGATGAAACATATAGTCTTTTTAGGCCTTGATGCCTCGCTCTGTGGTCTCCTTGGATTTTGCATAGATGCGGAACTACTGATTTGAACAACCCAACATTTTTTCAGTTCAGCATTTCCCTCTGCATTTCTTTAGATTTTATCGTTTCCAAAAAACACAATCTCCCAAAGCTGGCACATACAGGCGAGTAATTGTGATTTTAATTAGCTCGTTCGTTCATATAGCCTATCTAAATTTGAAAATCACCGCCGTTGTCAAGGTGTAGCTGTAGCCAGTGATGTAGTGGTAAAAACGGGGTAAACTTTAGACTTTCAGTCATCAAAATGCAAACAGCTACCGATACAAACACAAATCACACTTTTAAAACATTGATAGCTATTTTGAAATTGCCTTATCATAACAGGTCTTGATATGATTTGTTCGTCAATTTTCCTTTCAGAGATTTATTTCAGCCTAAAAAAGCTGGATAAATCTTGTTGCGCAAAATAATATTGTGGGTTAGGTGGATTACCCTCCACTACATCCCTGACCATAGCACAACAAAAAATGTAAGACTGAATAAATTAAAGGGAAACACCAATGACAACAAGTGAAACATCTCTTCAGAATACCTAAATCCTGGCGGGCATACGCTTGTCAAAAAGTGTGCTGTGGATAGATTGTTGATTGCAAGGGGACGCATGATAGGTTTCTGATTTTAATTGTGAAAAAACGCGTTCAGTTCATCATACACAGGGGCTCGTTCGTGGTGTAAGTGCATGTCGTGGTAAGGCAGGACGTTTTCAGAGTGAATGCCGCTCCGGGCTCCCGAGGAGCCAAACACCAGGTTGTGGGACCCGGTGGGTCTTGAGCCAGGCAGGCCGGAGTAATGCATAGAGTAGTGGTACCCCTTCTCGTTTTCGGGGGAGGCAGAGCCTTGGTGCTTCAGGGAAAAATTGCCATTGATGCACAGAGGCGGGCTGAGAGGCCCCTCATACTCGGGGCTGTTATACTCCGGGGATCCGCTCCCACCATACAGAGAGTCGTAAGCCGAGCAGTAGCTGTGTGTCCTCAGTGGAAGCGAGTTCGAGCCTGGCTGGCAGTGGGGGCTGGAGAGACGCGCGCACTGGTAGGGGTAGGAATGCATGGAGAATGAGCTGGACCCGTACCTCCCCCCGTCCTGACACTGCTGTTCCGTTAGGAAGTTACGGGAATTTAGCTGCAGGCATCCCGCCACCAGGTTGGTCGTGGGCTGGGAGAGTCCCTTACACAGCGTCTGGACATAGGACACAACGTCGGGCCTTTTTCCAGAGCGCAATATCTCCGACAGGGCCCAGATATAGTTTTTGGCCAACCGCAGAGTCTCGATTTTGGACAGTTTTTGCGTTTTGGAGTAGCAGGGCACCACTTTACGCAGATTGTCGAGCGCAGAGTTCAGGTCATGCATGCGGGTCCGCTCCCGTGCGTTGGCCTTCACCCGCCGCATCCTGGAGCGCTCGATCCGAGCCTGGGTCATTTTGCGCTTCTTGGGGCCCCTTTTCTTGGGCCTATCCCCCTCTGTATCCTCTCCGTCGTCCTCTTCCTCCACCCCGTCGTCCTCGTCGTCTTCACCGGCGTGCTCGGACTGCGTCCGGCTGTCTCCTCTCATATCAGATCCTTCCATTTCGTCCTGGGTGTCCTGGTCCTCATCTTTGATCTTGGATTGCTCGTCGTCGCTGTCCGCCCAGCCGGAGTATTTCTGCACGTCGGGAAGCAGTGAGGGGTCACTGAAAAGCCTCGTCAACATTGTGGCTCTGAAGTGGAGAGAAAAGGAAATCGAAAATGAGACCTCGCAAGAACAGGACATATACACCGCGTGAGTGGATGTACAATAAGAAAACGAACAGATTTCTATCAAAATGACTTCATATTGCGCACGTCACCATAAGCATCCGACCATTGGGCCCATAGAAGTCCCACTGAACACATTTTGATGAAGGTGTAAGGTCACTAAAACTCGTTATCAACATAGCTTTTGCTGTTTTATTATAAAATATAGGCATAGGCTACCAGTTGTTATTTCTGCCTAATGGATAACTAATGTAAATGTGGGGGGAAAAAAGAAAAGAAAGCTCTTTAAGCTTTGCGCTGGGCTACAGCCAGACGGTTCCCCATTTAATTCCCTGCTGTCATCCGTGTGCCCTGTCGCGTCCTCTCGCAGCGGGCCCCAGCGGCAGGGGCCACATTACAGGTCCCATGGGGGCCCCCACTTTCACTCCTCCTGACGCCCATATACACTCCTGGCTGCATTCCAGCACTATTCATCCACACCATACACCTCTCCTCAGAGGAGGCAAAAGGGATTCTATTTAATTGATAGGCTGTAGCTCAGTTTAAAGTCACGCTGATTATTAAATGAAGGCTTACAGACATATCCTAACTCAAGCTGTAAAAGGCCTTGAGAGCAATTGTAATTGCATGGCCTATAAGCAAGAATGAAGAGGAAAGGTAGCCTACATATATGGTTTATATGGTTTATAAAACTTTTATTTATAGTTATCTCAGTGTTAATAATAATAATAATAATAAAAATAATAATAAAAATAATAATAGTAATGTGGTTTCAGCCAAAAAAATCTAATTTCTAAAATATTTCGAAAAATACCTCAAAATCATTGTAGCTATAACGAACAGCAATCAAGCAAACATGCTAATTAATACATCTAACATAAAGAATAAATTGATGAGCCTACCACTTGATTAGTAAGCGCAGTCCCATCCCAGAAAAAAGGGCTACAGAGAGACGATGTGATCTTTGACAGCTTCAATAAGCCTCCATTGGCTTACTCCCTAACACGTTTCACTTCTCATCTATTATTATAGTGCAGCAGCAGATAGACTTGCAGCCCATGGTAAGGTAGGCTGTGATGGTTGGTTAATTATCTCGGGGGGTGTGCCAGGGGCAAAATCTCGATTTTAAATCTCAGGCTCAGGAGATTTGCTCAATTAGAAGAAAAAAACACAACAACGTTTAATTAACAGACCATGCAGCTTACATGAAATAGATTTCACACATAATTCAATATGCACGAGTGCATGATTTCAAAGCACTTTTTAGTCAGCGATAACCCATCACAGATGGAACTCGCTTGTATCCTTTTAGCCCTCGTTAAATATAAAAAAACGCAACTTGCAAAACACAATCATCCAATCTCGCCAAACCCTGCAATAGCTCCACTGTAAAAGCAACGACTGTGGTTTCAACAATGTTAAGTCGAGATAGATTATTGAAGATAAAACTATACAAACCGATATAAATCATGCTGCACACTGCCTGTCACAGTCAATGGCGTTGTCCCACCCTTTCATTTGCTACGAGAATGAACGTGCAAATCGTCGACAAAATCATCAATAAATCTCCAATTAAGCTTGTGGACGTCCTTAGCTGAGGCAAGGCGGCTGATATCAAGATCTTCCACAGAAATTCCAGTCTTGCGTAGTCACTGTCTTTTGTTTCTCTGATTCAAGGTCCAGACGCAGGAATCTCTAAATCAAATTAGTGTCCGATATCATCTATTTACAGCATGTACGCTGCTGGAAGGGTCTCTCCAATCCTCAGGGCTGCTCCTTATAAATGGTCCTGGAGGACAGAATACTGGGCCGGGACACGCTTTCCCTTTTGACTCTTGCTTGGTATTTGATTTTAGCTCTTAAAATCCAGGTTGATTTGGATGTCAAAAGTTGAAGGGCACGCAGAGGTAGAGCAGGGGAGCGAGGAGGTATTTGTGCAAGCGCGCTCATACGGAAATTTAATAAAACGACAAAAATGGAAATGCCTATACACATTTATGTCATTTTTTTTGTTAGAAAGGATTTCAAAGTGTGCCATCACCAGGTTTAAACAGACTGCATACCGTGGATCGATACCAGAGCAAAGCCACAGACACAGAAGCGACTATACATTACATTTCCATATGGATTCATGCCAGTAAATTAGCCTTTTACCCTGCAAACTGAAGCGATAAAGATGCTTAAATTCACCAAAAACAGTCGATTGGCAGTACATTGTATATAATACGAATGAACATCTTGCACTAATTTACATCTATTCATCTGTTTTATTAGATTAAATTTCTCCTCCATTTTGGTCGGATCCAGGGTTTTTCCCCCTCCGCTAATGTTGTTGTTTATGTTCCAACTTACCTCGACTGGAGCTCTTCACAGGGGATGGGAGGAAAAACACGCGCTTGAGTTTCAGACCATCTTCAGGGACCTGCACGAGTGAGCGAACCAACGCTCCCTGTCAGTATAGAGGTGCAGGCAGCGAGCGGCTTTCTTTCACTGGAGCTGATGGGTTGTTTAGGGGTGCTTCTCTCCCAGCGCGCGCACTCGAATAACCGGAGCTTGTGAACGAAACGTGCGTCTTGGCGTGTCTGTGTGTATGCGAGTGAGTAAGAGAGCATGTATGCATGTGTGTGTGTGTGGTGTGTGTGTGAGTGTGAGTGCGCGTGTGGCAACCGTGAGCTACCGGGGACGGGGTTACATACCAGCTAAGGCTGTGATGCCAGCGCCCATATGGCTGGCACGTCACCGGCAAAAGCCATCACATGAGAGCACGGTGATTGACATGCGCCCGCATTCGGAGAGATTTGCCCGCGGGGGAAGAGAGACACAGGGAGAGAAAGAGAGAGAGAGAGAAGGAGGTGGTGGAGGAGGAGGAGGTGGAGGGCTCCGCCATCTGTCACCGCGCTAGAGCTCACACAGCCAGAAAAAAGGAGGAAAAACAGAAGAGAGAGGGAAAAAATAAAATGGTGGAACAACAAAACTCATCATTGTTGACTTGTGCTGCTGCTTCAAGGGATGATATTTTTTTTAATCAATCCTGTGAATTTTCTCATTCACCTGGAAAACTCACTTGTCGGTGTTTAATGCAATTTAGAAGAGATTCACACAAATATCCCAGCAGTCACCATAAAGAAGGTTACAGTGATAAATAAAGAATTATGATAAAGTCAACAAAGGCTATGTTGACTCCCAATATGTTACAGTGATTACTCCTCAGTGTCTTGAAGTGAAGTGTCTAAGCCATAATATTGCAGTGTTATCTGCATTAAGTGACAATACAGTAAATAAGCTATGACCCCAAGCCAAAAAAAAAAATCTGCTTTAAAATCCTATTTCCACATGCAATTAATCAATTCAGCATTTTAAAAGACTCTTTTCTCATAATACAATTTGTCAGTTTAAGAAGATAATACAATAATACTCCGTGGAGTCTATCATTACATCAATTAACTTTTCAGCAAATGAAAGGTGGGTAAACTAGGTTTAGTTGCAGAGTTTACCCTCCATCACATCTCTGGTTCAGAAGCAGAGTGGGGGTAGGGGGATGGGGATGCATTATAAGTGCATTAAGGCCAGGGAACAGAAGGCATATTGTTTATTTATTTACCTAATTGGATCAAATTATGCTTCAATGTATTCAGAGGAACGGCAACCAAAACCAATTGTGATTTGTTCTGACTCTTATGGGCACAGCACCAGGCACAGATGACCCACTTGCCAAAGCTGCAAATGAGTCAGATTAAAAGGTATAATATTACATAGGCTTCTGCTGCATGCAGTGTGTGTGGACGCGTGTGTGTCGACTGGCGCTCATGTGGTTAAGTGGAAGATCAAATGTTTACTGGTAGCTGTGTCCGAATGTGTGAGGTTTGCCAGAGCTGCTGCTGGTGCTGGTGTTTCCAGCCAGCAATGCTGAGTGTGGGGCGCCTGCAGGGGTGAGCATCAGAGAGAGAGGGAAAGAGACATCTAGACACAGTGAGAGGAAGGGAGAGAGAGAGAGAGAGTGAGACCCAGGTGTGCAGACCCACAAGGGATGTATGAAAAATGAGGAGGAAGGGGGGTGTAGCTGTAGATGACAGGGAATTGGTGCTGGTAGGAGCTGGCAGAGGTGCCCAAGATTTAAGAGGAGGCATGTTGGCACATCAGCGGTGTAGATGCAAGAATTCCCCGCCACCGGCATCCTGGTCCCTTCAGTATGTGTGCTTCGCTGCGTTGTGTCCATCCCAGCTTCGAGATCTCTCTATTTAGCAGACATTAGTGGAGTTAATGGGAGAAATGAGTTCGATGACCACCAAGTCCAACTTGGCACAAAGGCACCCACCGGACTGAGGGAACAGGGACCTGGAGGCTGAGAAATAGCTGATAGAAGCTCATCATGTCCTTGGGCCTGGATCACCCCCTACATCTCCTGCTCAGCCACAACTGAGGGAGTGTTTGGGGGCGTTGCAGGGTCATCCCTGGGGTCACCAGTAGTGTGGCAGCTGTGGCTAGGGAGCCGTGATGCCGCACATTCACTAATGTGTCTCATCCCTTATGGGATGAGGGGATGGTAACCTGGCAGTACCCCAAACCATGGTGGGGTGATTGTGTCAGTGTGTGTTTGTTTGTGTGTGTGTGTGGGGTAGAGGAACATCGAGCTTCACTGCCAGCCAAATCGGTGCCCTATCCTACCTCAGCTGCACTGAGGTGGGGGGAAATTCAAGGGCTGCGGCTGATGCGTCTCAACAAGTCCCAAACAACCTTCAGGTCACCTTGCCAAAATAAATGCTAAATGTCAACAGTGTGGCTTTAGCCAGCGCCCGGCTAGAGGTGACTCCAATCACGGAGGCTTTGATTTGATGTTGAAATGCCGGAGAGCTTGTTTGGAATTATGATATTTTAGAATGTCTTTGCATCCTGTTTGTATGCGGATTAGTCTTAAGTAGGGGCCACCTGCTGTGGTTTTTCACAGGCTAAATGCATGCAATAAAAATGCAAAATTGAAGCCCTTTCCCTTTAAGATATCAAATTCTCCATCACTCTTTTCCCTCTATGGTCAAATGACACCCAATAGCCTTTCAAAGTCATCAAGCCACACCTCCACACCTTTGTCATCTTCCCCCTCCCTTCTTCCTTTTCTCACTGTCAGACATGTGAGGTGATGACCTGCACTTCACTTGTCTTTCTGGAAGAAGTGCAAACTTCTTCTGGCACAAATATGAAATACAGTTTCCCCCCCCACCCCACCCTCACACACACACACACCCTCCCACCCCCACCAGACTCCCGGACCCCATCTGCACTCTCCTCTCTCCAGTCCCCTAATTGCATATGCACAAATGCAAATGCCTATTAATTAATTACTTGACTAATTAGTGCAGTGGTATTTTAGAGCGATAAATCAAGTGGAGATGGGGCCGAGGACGGCGGGGCAGAAGGAAGGCTGCACGGAGCATCGACAATGATCCCACACCAGAGGGAGTGCTCCTATTGTACAAGCCCTGTGTGACTGGGAGTGTGCTGGGAAGAGGCGCACACTGGAGCTTCTGAAGTGAAGCACCGTTTAAAACTGCTGAAGAGCCTAAAAAGGTGACTGAGCGAGGTGTGTACTGTCTGTCTGAAAGAGGAAGTGAGAAAGGTAGAGAGAGAAGAGAAGAAATCTAGGTTGCATATGAGATATGACCTCTGCTCTACCAACTGTGTTGTTTCCTGGCATGTGGCCAAGCTTGGATGCTCGTTGCACCTATTTTCACAAAGGAGGAACCATCAGCTGTACTATGGCTGCTCCTACTGATGCATATTTATACTGATATTGTAAACCTTGTACAATAGTTCATTGAGCATAACAGTTGGCCTCGTTTCCGCAGTGATACTGATGTGATAATTGTGGAATCTGCAGTTGGGTGGTGAATTATTCTGGCAGCCATGGTAAGTTGTGTATCTGTCTATGTGTGTGTGGGTGTCTGTGTGTGTATGTGCCTGTAGGTGTGCCAGGCCCCCGCCATAGGTACCCATAGAGATCTCCGGACTGAAATATTCATTCTTGTTTGCTCGCCCAGACAGTGTGGTCCTAATTGCAGCATCAGAAAGCTCCACCTCTCCTTCTCGTCTGGCTTGGCTGCAGTGGAGACAAAACTCATCTGGGAGCGGGATGCCTGTGTAAGTATGCGTGTGTTTATGAATTGGTGCTCCTTTCTAGGGAGTAGAAGTGGGGTTGGTAGATTTGTGCTTGCCTTGCTCTTCTCTCAATTCCTCACACTCATTCACAAACACAATGCACAAAAGGCACATTTTCAAGGAGCGGTTCATGTTGTCAGTCTGACAAATTCATTCATTTAATTTTCCGACATGTAATATTTTTTCATGTATTTCAGCTTGCCTTCATGCCTCATTCCCTCTGCTTGTGTTGGAGTTGGGGTGACTATTGATCTCTCTGTCAACATGTCTGTCTGTCTGTCTGTCTGTCTGTCTGTCTGTCGGTCGGTCGGTCCACAGGGTGTGTGTGAAGCTCTGGAGTTTTTCATCAGTTCCTGTGCCAACCCAACCCGTGCCTGGCCAAGCTGAACCATCTTGTGGGATTTTTGGCTTTTAATTATAGTAAGAGAGGATTAATTATGGCAGTGGAAACAAGGGGGCATGCATTATTGATGCTATGAGTGAAGGGCTGGAGGGGGTAGAGGGTGCTAATTAAATCACTGCCCTACTGCCACGTCCTCCTCTGTCTCTGCCTCCACCATGTCTTCCACCTGCTACATCTCCAAAACTCCACCCTACTTTACTCCTCAAACCCACCCGCATATGTACACACACATATATTGTCTCTCACACAAACAATCATACTTCAGTTGTCTTTGTCATGTCTATCTTTGTTTTTCTGTCTGCTTTTTGTTTTTGTTTTTTGCCAAGGTCTGCCTCCCTAAAATCTTCAAAAAAAGTTCAAAATGTCATCAACGATCCTTACCTTTTCTTAGGAATCTAACCTCATTGGGTCTATCAGAACATTTTCTCTCTTTCTCCATAGTATGTCAGTTTGCATGCTGACACATCCAGTTGATAGTGATTGGTACATCTATTCAATGTCCCTCAGTGGTGAGACGTTTTAAATTTACTGTCATGCTAAGCACCCCAGTCTCAATTTTAACCCCTTTCTTTCCAGTCAACATGGGATGAGTCTTTCTAAGAGCCAAATGTAACAAAATGCTGCCATCTACTGGAATCTATTTATAATTGTCGCCTGCATCACTTCCATACTGCCATTCAGCAGATCTAAAACTCAGCATATTGTCTGTACTTGTAGTAAAATAATGCCCTTAAGAAAATGAAGCAATTCTGTGCTCTTCATTTTGCAGGGAACTCCAGTTGGATCCCAACATGGTTTTCTGGTGGTGAACCCAAATTAGGATGCTCATTTTTACTTTTTGTTCAACCTTCCACATTGATACACTAGTGCACAATTTTCTAGATAGTCTACTTATCTTTCATCCCTCTTTTTTTCTTTTCTTATATCTTCTCTCCTTATTCTTATGATTTTCTCTCTAAATTCTCAGGGATTATGCCTTCATTCACTGTGTTGTCCCAACACATTCCAGATGGATATTGGTTCCCTGGCATCTGGCGTTGCAATGATAACAAGCTGAGGTGGCAGTCCCCTCTCATGTACACTACTCAGTGCACCATTTTGGGCCATGTCTTCCGCAGAGGGGACCCAGTGGTTGAACAAATCCTTCTTCAATCAGACAACATGGCTTAAAGTGAAACATCCGCCCTGCTAAAATAGTATGTAAAACTTTGCATCATAATGTTTTTCACTGTCCA